TCAAGCAAGTAAGAAGAACAATTATTTTTATTCATAATCGGATGTACAACACTTATTACATTCAATTTAAAGAGCTCCTCATTCAGGTAACCCTTTCCTACAAATATTTTATTATTCGTAAGTACAAATTTGTCTGAAACGAATATTAGCTTAAACTCGTTCTTGCTTAAAAGGAAACCCGATACCAAATTCTTTCGAATATCGGGCACATGAAGAACGTTATTTAAAGTGAGCTCCTTTCCACTTGTCATTTTCAGTACTATCTTTCCATATCCTTCAACCTTGGAAGATGATGAGTTTCCCATGTAGAGTTGTTCATCATGATCCATTGCTTTGTAGGTAGAGAACATCCCACGATTTGAACATATGTGACGAGTAGCTCCAGTATCCACCCACCATTTCTTAGTGTTTCCAACTAAGTTGCATTCAGAGACAACCACAGAAAGATTTATTTATTGTACTTTATTAGAAAGGTTGTCATGTTCTGTTACATTTGCCTAGTGAGGTTTTTCCTTGACATTTTTTGGCTTTCGATAGTCCTTGGATCAGTGTCCTGCCTTGCCGCAATTGTAACAATTGCCCTTGAACTTTTTAGCAGGTTTTGAAGAACTAATTTGCCCTTCGCCATTGTGCTTTCTCTTTTTGCTAGTCTCTAAACCTCCTTCCACAATGTTGGCTTTTGATTCCATCGAATGAGATGCACCACTACTCTTTTCAGATTTGCGATTGTCTTCTTCTATTCTCAATCGAACAATGATGTCTTCAAGTTTCATTTCCTTCCACTTATACTTTAGATAATTCTTGAAGTCCTTTCAAGAAGGCGATAATTTCTCAATCAGTGCAGCGACTTGAAATGATTCACTTAGTTTCATTCCTTCGGCATGGATGTCGCTGAGTATGATTTGAAGTTCTTGAACTTGGGATATGACAATCTTGCTGTCAACCATTTTATAATCCAAAAAATGATCGACAATGAATTTCTTCGTGCCGGCATCTTCAATTTTGTATTTTGTGTCCAAAGATTCCCATAGTTCTTTTGCGGACTTCACATTGCAGTACACATTATATGATGTGTTATCCAATTCGTTGAGTACATAATTTCTGCAGAAGAAATCAGAATGCTTCCATGCATTAACCGCAGCCAATTTCTCAACGCCACTTTCTTGCTCGGTGTATGACGCGCATCTTCTTTGAGAAATTTTGCCAAACTTAATGTTGTCAGATAAAAAAAGCATTTTCTGTTGCCAACGCTTAAAATCTAACCCATTAAATTTCTCTGATTTTTCTCTGGTCGTATTCGGGAGTGTAGTACCAGAAGTTGTCATTTTTGAAACACAATAAGAAGATAATCAATAAGAAGGAGTAGAAATAGAATGATCCAGAAAAGCAAAATTCGTTATAAGATTGTTAATCCTAGAATATAAGTTTCCCCTTCCAAACAATCCGAAAGAATTACCGTAACAGTGCTATAGAAATTTAAATTCGAGCCCACCGATTTCGCGAGTGAAGACCGTCGAGTATGCTGCATAGAAAGTCACCGGTGGAATCAACTTGGCACACTGTTGGAATGGGCCAAGATGCTCTGCTGCGCACGAATGCGTCACCCAATCCCAACTATTTCCAGTCCTTGACATCAAATGATATCCAAGCATGAGTTCTGCTATTGAAGGGTATAACTACTTGAACCATCGCATGCTCAGGCAATATCAGAGGCTAAAAAGTATAGAAAGTGTGGACAAATTGGGGTAAGTAGGATGTCGGGAACCTAAAAATCAATGGAAGCTATTCATGGGATGGTCTAACTGAGCATTAATCAAGAAAAATAAAAACACGTTGTCCAACGTACTTTGATAGAAAAAGTTAGTGCATGTTTGGCCTACTCAAACATACTTTTTATCCACACAATTCATAGAACTCAGAGCTATTATTTATTATTCATACATTTTGTAGGACTCACATCTTATATGCACTCTCAAGAAAAAATCACATTGTCCAACATATTTTGATATAAAAAAGTTAGTGCGTGTTTGGCAAAACTTAAATTATAATTTAATTTTGTCAAACATACTTTTTATCCACACATTTTGTAGAACTCACAACAATTATTTACATATTTTGTAGGATCCTATAAGCACTCCCAAGCATGCACTTACTCAAAACTAACAAGTACTTTTTTAGTTTACCCTATGAAGGTTAAATGACAAATAGACGGGAAGACAAATGGTTCAAGATGTACTTGAGGATGAACCATGGATCCTCCAGCTGCCAGGGAATATGTCGTGCTCCCAGGTGCCGTTGATAATATTAAACCATCTCCTGTACACAAATGAAGAAAGAATTGTCACAATAGCATTCTAGATTTGTGAGGAACGATGAAAATCCAAGATCAATTGTAAACTTGTTCAGGACGAGCATTGGTTCTTACTTCTTTGCTCTCATATTCAATTTTAGCTTAATCATGAATGATATGGCACTGCAATTGATTTCTTGACGTGATACTAATGGGACCACAAGGATCGAATTATGATACTCATGGTAATGCTCACTATCTGATTTTAAGTCAAAGGTAAGTCCCTAAGAGAAGAACCAAAATTTGATTTACTGGCGGCCATTATTTTTAAACTGTTAAAGTATCCCTAAGAGTGCATATTCGGTAAAGCTTAAATTGTAATTTAAGCAAGTCAAACACACTTTTTATCGACACTTACGAACTCACAATGTATTATCCACTTTTTTCCACACATCCTGTGGGGCCTGCTGCTTAAATTATAGTTTTAGCAAGCACTCCAAAACAAGGACATAACGTGTGAATGTAAAATAAGAACCCCTTTCAGGAAGAATTGTTACAAAATTCATTTGTAGAATGATATATTTTATTTATATAATGGAAAAGAACATAGCAGGAAATTATCGATTGAACAGTAAATTATTTAGAATTATAAAGGGAATAAACTATTAAATGGGGGCCTATGTAAAAACAGTCTTTGAAACAGATTTGCTCTCTCTCCATAAGTGTTTGAGGTTTTTGTAAGCATCTGTGTCCCAAGATATAATAGACAAATGTGTAGAAATTGAGCATTGTATTAAGAGTGGAGGAAAATAGACTGCGTAAATAGGCTATAATGAAGAATTGACATGCCATGAGTTACAGGTGTTATAGCCATTAACCCATCTATCAATCTCTACGCTAACACAAACATGACCCATATGAGCTTCAGGAGTTAGAGAATTTGGAAGGTTTTATTTGGAGAAAATAATAAAATATCGATAGTGTTACATGTACATTAACTTACTTACATATGATGTGATGAGATATGATAGGGTCATAATTTTTCAACCAAATAAAAAATGAATTATGCTACTTTTACATAGAAATAGTACATAAGGGATTACATAAAATGATGTGGAGGGAAAAAATTGTGTGAAAAAAATTGACTATATTTTAAACCGACAAATGAAATAGTGACATGTAACATTATGTAACTCATTATGTAAAACTTGATATACATGTAGCAATGTCCAAAAAAATCCCTTTCTTTCTGACACGTCATCTATATATAAATCATTATGTACAAATAACATTATTTTCAAAATATATAAAAAATAAAGGAAAACGTGAACCAATCGAAGCGTCCAATTTTAGTCTGACATTCATGTATGCAAGTAGCGCCCGCACACAGTTTCAAGGTCCAAAGTGTTAATTCGGTCCATTATTTTTTACAAGTAACTATATGATTCGATGTACTCACGAAAGAGAACATGAATCGATTTTGATCTTCCAAAACGATCAAATGACTCCCACTCAAAATTATCTCAAATATATCCAAACCTTTCATTTTCTAGTTGGGGTCTCAAACTTTTTATCTCAAGTGCAGCTAGAAGACAGGTGGATGAATTCCGTCCACTTGACTTTTAGTTGAACAAAAGTAAACTTTTTTAGCCATCCTTTTTATACTTAAGAGAACATCTCTCTGTTCTACATTCGCATACGGGATGCTCTCAAAGAATAAAAACTAGAGTACAGCGATTAATTCCTTGTTCCATCGTCGTATCGTGAACATTAAATTACCGCAGTACGTGTTAAAATTCAAAATATTAAATGTTCAATACCATCTTTAAACAGTTGGGTACTAGGATTAATTCCTATTATAAATTATTTATTAGGTGGTATGCCATACATGAGAAATTAGCCTACCCTCGTTCATTCAACCAACCACCTTGCTGTCCAATCAATTGTGACGTTTTTCTTTACCTTTATGACACTAGAAACTCACTGTTGAAATGTGTTCTACTGAGACGGGCGAGTTTTACAATTTTCCCTCAACATTAACAGTCTGTTTGAGAGTGATTTTTTTATCTAAAAAATTGATTTTTTAATTGTTATTTTACTATTCCAATCGTCATATTTGATTTCTTCTCTCACAAATAAACCCTACTTTTATCCTAACGATAAAAAAATCAATTCTCAAAAACACTCTCAAATATGCTATAAGAAACTCAATATTTAATAAGAGAATCTAATCCATTATCCCTCATTGCTTAGAGTCATCCACAGTCCCAAAGTCCTTTAAAATATCCCTGAATTGCAGTTAAAATATTGAGGTTGATTGGACTTCTAACTATGGAGCCTACAACTCAAAAGAAACTTACACCCTTAATTCATATTCTTCTCAAAATACATTTTCCCCTTTCTTCTTTTCAATCACATTTTCTAATAAAATAATATTATGCGTAAATATAAAAATTTTCTTATTTTTTATCCACACATTTCCCTATCAATTCACTATTCTAAAATGCATTTTTCTAATTTAATGTGGCTTAAACAAGCCTTTAGCCCGTCTTGTAAATAAAAATCAAACTTTTAATAAATTTTTGTAAAAGTTGATGAAATATGTAATTAAAAAATGGCCGAAAGTAATGAATTCCATGAGCTGCGTGGTAGAAAAAAAACACAATAAGGCACATGCAGATGAAAATGGCTGTGATTGACAAGAGGGGTGTTCCAGATATACATACTAAACCTTCCAGAGATAATAGAAAGTACAAAATTCTTTTCCACAGAAAGTAAGCAGAGTACGGTCGACATACATTACACCAGACAAGAAACAGATTCATCAGAATGTCCCTTTTACGTGGAATCTCCACACGCAACAGGTTGCCATAGCGAACCCAAAGCTCAATGCAAAGAACGCAGACTCGACAATCCATTAAGAGTAACTTATAAACTGAAGATAAGTTATCCATGTAACGGGGGAAAGGAAATACAAATCCTCATCAAAATCAACAATCATACACATGGTTAATTTTAGCATCGGTCCACAACTATCAGAATGGTTTCTTGACACTAAATGAAAAGCCACAAAATCCTTAAAAAAGCCGCCAACATCAGAATCTCCTCCTAGGACTTCTAGAACGATGACCATGAGGTGATCTGCAAAAATAAGTTTAAAATGGACAAGATTATATAACCATAAGAAGAAGAAGGACAAAGATTCATCATTAAAATAATAATAAATAAATAAAGAACTCATAGTTAAAATTTGCTTCTCATTCGCCCCTTTCAAATCTGTGGTTATTCTTTCTATTTAAGTTTTTCAACCAATCATGCTATCGTACAGATATTTTTGACAGAAAACACTTGGCACGGCACCACTGGAAGATGGGAAAACATAAAAAACAAACAAATAAAAAACAAACCAACCCATGCCAATCAAGCTTGGCCACGTCAGCATTGGTATCCATTCCATTAAAAATTTCCAATACTTGGAGCTTTATTTTCAACTTCACTGCCACCAACCAGGTCTGTCATTAGAGTATGCTAAAATGGATATATCCCTTTTCTGGGACCCAGTGGGTTGATGTTGGGGTGGCCATCAATGATAGAAGATTTTCATCCCTATTCCCTGTTATAAGACTATTTCCATATAAAGTAAAGGTAAACTATTTACTTGTTTATTGGATAATTTTTACTTTTACTCGTTCAAAATAATACAGAAGTTCGAAGCGATTAGAGAATTATTTTGATATTTTGACAGTAGACCAATAAACAAATAACTTGTGATGTCATTCAAAATTCAAAAGGAAGATGTACACACACATCAAACAACAGTTGATAGACAGCATATCTCCTCACTGCATAACAATCCATTGTATCCTTATCAAATAAATGAGTCCGGGCAAACGTGAAAATCTAAGTTTCAAGGTTGTTCATCAATAGAATCATCATAGAGTAAATTTCAAGTCTCTGTAAGGTTGAGTAGACATCTCTTCACAAAGTTAAATAAGGCACATCCAATTCAAGTTTGAACAATTATTAGAACGCAATACTGATCTAAATAATGGCAAACACATGAGACTTCATGAACAAGTACCTCCTCCTCATATTCCTCCTTTTGAATGGACCTTTGCTGAATGCCCAAGCAACAGTTATGGCCTGGGTGAGCAGTTCTGTCCCATCCATTTCACTTATAGCTTTCTGAGCTTCCTCAAAATTCTCATATTCAATTAGTGCATAACCCTACAGAACAGGTCAATTTGCCAAGTTTGTTAAAAGTACCTAAAAGAAAGCCACGGCAAACTAAGGTACATAAACAAAATCAGGTCACTTTCACTAAAATAATAAATGACGAGCACATGGAAACTTCTTATATGCAGACTGTTGTTCAGCAAGACTTCAGAAATAAATGTCTTAATACCTAAAAGGGCTTTTTAACATGGTGACAGCATCTCCATTCCAAATGATGAAGTGTAGAAATACACAGTACTCATTTAACCAAGTATATATTTGCTAATGTTCTTCCCATGGTAAAAAAATTATATTAACTATCTTTACTCTCATCCTAAGAACAAAAAGCTTGGTTAACGTGCCACACACATTGCCATAATTATGTGGAAGGTATTTCAAGCTTTGACTTGAAAAATAAATAAATAAATAAATAAAAATAAAAAATTATCCTTAAAGGGGATCATTGATTCCATGTGATACAGAAGTTTTAAGCAACAGTCCTGTTAAACAAGCACAGATTGGCAAATAAGCACAGTTCTACCAAAGCTGGCTGCGTCCAATCACATTATGACTTGCAGTTTTTCTTTTGATTCTTTATAGGTCTACTTTCATTACTACCATAAATTCCTCTCACTTTGCTTCTTTAGTTCACTGTTCTTTTTAAACAAAAAGAAGACGTGTGGGTATGTGGTTCAATTATACTAGCTCCCTGAGGGGACTCTTTTGGCACATAAGTTTTATCTCTTTCTTTAAATTGAATAGCTCCCTAGTCCGTACAGGACCCACTCAATGATCCAAATGTCAAATTTCTCAGGTGTGCATTCTTCATTTATCCTATTCAATTCATGGCAGGCCAATCACAAGAAGATAATATATTCAGGCCAATCATAAGAGGTAATCATCTTTTGTAGAGGGATCTCAAAGGAAAGTTCTAGTTTACCTTGACAAAACCCGTACGTCGGTCAAGATTTAAATGCAAATTCTTAATCTCCCCAAATTCGCCAAATGCATTTTGTAGATCATCCTCTTGTGCCTCTTCATGAACTCCAGTAACCAGAATAATCCATCCTTCAATAGCTGCACGAATTCGAAACCAATTAGAAATCATCACATTCTACATGTACTCTTCTCTAGATATCACGAAACTGATAACATCTGATTGAAAGTGCCAGTTCAACCTGCAGTATATAACAGGTGACTGATACCTAACAGTAATCATAAAATGCAAAAATCTCTAACAGTGTGGCAGTAATTTATTACACCTAAAAGATCAATATTTCAGGTTTCTTCATTTTCATCAGTTAAAGAATCTAATTCAACAGTTAATGTTCATCAATGCCAGTAAGATGTCCAGAAGGATTCAATAACTCCAAGGCTAGGACAGCACCAAAATTATGTGCCCCAAATAGCGACATGTTGTATGATGATTTAATAAGAATTCTTAGGGCCCATTTGACATGACTTTTGCTTTTGCTTTTGCATTTGTTACATATACAAGAGCTTTCGGAGGAAACTACCTTAAGTTTTGTTTGAAATTAATTTTTAAAAGAACTTCCTACTCCGGAAGTACTTTTTGAGGAAGCTACATTGCACCAACTTCCTCTAAAATCTCTTCTAGCTAGAAAAAACACTTTCATAAAATTGGCCAAAGTGGCCCAAAAGCTTCTTTTGACTTGTCAAAGCCATGCCAAACGTGTCCTTAGTTTTTGTATGTACTTTATCCAACATTTGGGTATATATGCATTACATGATGTTTACTAGTTACCTAACATACATTCATACTCCTTGTTAATAACTAGTAAGATCTACTGAACTGGAACAAATTCAAGAAGACACGAATAACTAAATAGTGATATGCCATGAAGGAGTGTAATATATCCAACCTCTATCGTAAAACAACAATTTTTTGAAGAGAACTTTCATTTACATGCAACTATTTTTCCTTTAGAATCCAAAGAAAGCATTAGGATCTCGCACAAGAGAAGCATAAAACTAGAAGCAGAATAAACAGAGCCTGGTTTATAATCCTCAGTTCCTTGAACTTTATAATCTCATTTGCACTATTTCAGCTAAACCAAAGATCTTTATCAAACAAAAAAGAACAAATAATACTCTTTGAAAATAGGTTCGCTACTGACAACAGTCCCAATCAATAAAAAATTAAATAAGTGGAGAAATCAAATGCATATAAAAGGAATAGTGATACAGGTTTTAGATGCTAACATCGCTCGGGGCCGGGCCCACCGTCGGAGTCGAGGGAGTCAAAGCGCCCAGACATACGAGCGTTGCGTTCGGCCTCAGATGAGGCCTCTCCACGGAAGCCTCGGCCCTTGGTCTTCTTCGGAGCAGAGGCCGACAAGCCGCCTGTGATGGCAGACTTAAGCCGAGGAACATTGGCGCCGCGGTTGGGGGATGACGCACCGCCGTCCCCTATGTCCTCGTCCATGAGATCATCCTCCTCCGGCTCGAAATCCACTGCCTCCGCCTCCACGTTCGCCATTGTTGCTTACAGAATTGTACTTGAGAAGAAAAGTGGATTTGGTTTCTGAGTGGGGATGAGGGTTTTAATTTAATAAATTTGAAAATAAATTAAAGTTGGGTGGCCAATATGTGACATTTTCACAATTTTAATGCCCTATCGATTTGTAAATGGACTCGGGCCGGGCTGTTTATAGAGTGGGCTAGACCTTGCAAGTCGATACAAGGCCCAATGATTAGGGAATATCATAAAGCCCAAAAGCAAAAACTAGCCGTTCACACTGGGCCGTCGTTTGATAGCTGAGCTAATAACATGTTATAAATTGTGCGATTTTCGACTTTTTATTGTCATTTCTCGTGTTTTTTAAAATTGAAGAGAAAGAATTGATATAAACAATTGCTGGTTTCGACCTTCTAACTAGTTAAACAATTGGATGGTCGAGCACACCAATTAGAAAAGACTAGAACAATTAAATAAGAGATGCATGTGAGGATAGTCGAGCATACCAAATATGCCTTAAAAGTGTTTGGCGTTCGACTTCTAATTGTTGCTTGTCGTGTTTTTTTTTATTTTTTATTTATGTATTTATTAATTATTATTTTATTTTTTTTGTACAACTGAAGAGAGGCAATTGAAAGAATAATTGCAGCTTTCCAACTAATTAAACGGATTGGACTAGAAATGATTAAAACAAAAATACGCGCGAGAATAGTCGAAAGAAATAGGAACATCCATCGATGGATGTACCTCAAAATATGACAAGTCTCTTTGATTTTCAAGTTGTGAAGGTGATGCATATATCCGATTGAGTAAAATAATTAAAGTTCTCTTGCCACGTCAGCAATGAAAAGTTTTTATCGTGTACGGTGAGAACAGGAAATCATGACTGTAAGAGGAAAATGTTACTTGGATGCATAAATAGTGAAATTTAGAATGTTTTGTCATTACTCGTCTTGCCTCAACCATTGTACTCCAGTCGATCACTCTACTTTTAGAAATCCAAAATAAACGTTTCATTTATATCCAAAAGCAAAAATACAACACAATGCGTACAAACCCACAAATCTAAGAGCTTTCGTTGAAATCATGAGCCAGGAAAATCATATCCACAGTATGATCCTTTCTATGGTACATTGAACAATATTTTTCCTCCTAACAGAATATAACACAACAAAGAACGTTTTCTCGAGTCAAGTAGATATGCAAAGAGATGTTGAATCCATACCTGAGTTTAAACGAAAGATAAAATAAGTCAGTTTATAGAAATAACAGCATCCGTGTTCAGTGATCACGACTGACTTAATAATATGAAAGATGTCTAGAACCAAAAGAAGGAACATAAATGAGAAGTTTGAAATTTGTATCCCAAAGTTCGTAGCTTTTTTATTTGGTTTCTGCAGAGTTGAGTCGAATGAAGCAATCCCTAAATGTTCCATAGTTCTTTACTTTATAACAAGAAATTTAAGTGCTCGTGTAATTTACGTCTCATTTTTCACCTTGTCCTTCCTTACTTTCCCAACAGTTTTTAAGTAATTCAAAACCCCACCAAAACTAACATGAAAAAACTTGCAAATACAGCCTTCTCAATATCCAGGCATGTACAAGGAAAAATATATGATTCTTGCCTTCTAAACAAAAGCATAAAACACAATTAACGAGACCACTGTCCATAACTAGGAATGATTCCAGACAGACACTTCAACCCTTATTTCCAGTTATCAAACATTATCCAATAACACACCTATACAAAACCTCTTCTACGTCACTTCGAGAAAATTCAGGACATGCAAATCAAGTTACATTCATAGCATCATGGTTTCATCATAAATATTTGAAAATGATAATGAAAACAATAACTAGGGAAGAAAATACAAACCTTTTAGCAGAAAGCAATAGCAGATGATACTTGAGCTTTAATTGCTAATCTCTAGATTGTGCTCCAGTCTCGTCGATTTCCTTGTTCGATTTTTATTAGTACCCTGTAATTTGCAACAGCATACCAGGACTGTTTACTGAAATTGATGGAATTCACATCAGAGAAGAAACTCAAAATAATGTGGTAATATTTCTGGAAAGGCAAATTAGAAGCTAAGAATCAAATAGCAAAATTTGACTTGAGCATGCTTCTTGTTGCTTAAAAGTTACTTTTTCTGGAAGGTAAGCTAAAGCCCACTTTTCAAAATAGTAAATTTTGTTAGTAAAAGAAGCAATTATGAAAATCATGTTAGGTTGTGCTTGCTTGGTAGTGCTTTTAAGTGCTTGTAACCCACGGAATGTGTGTGATAATAAGTGGTAGTAAGTTGTGGGTCCCATGAAATATGTGGATAAAAGTATGTTTGACCAATTCAAATTTTAAACTTTGCCAAACATGCACTAAATAATTCATTAAAACTTAGGATTCTATCTTAAAAGATCAACCTTATTAAGAGGAGTAACCCAAGCACTTATTGGTCTATGTTTTCATCCTTATTCGATGTGAAATTTTTAGGGTTTAAGGATTTTATCTCTCAACATAACTAACTAAAAGTAACTAGAACTTACATTTAAGCACTTCCCAAGTGAGTTCATGTTAACTTCGTCCCCAACTCCACATCCATAATACAGCCTCCAGTTCACGTGCAAGGCACAAAAAGTTTATAGCACCCCTGTCACAATTTGCTGAGTGTGTGACTACAAAATCAAAGTAAGGAAGCAAACAGAAAATGTTAGTCACACAACATAATATTCATTGAGATGTCATTCAAACAAATATATCTCATATTTTCTGCGCATTTTCTTCTTCTTCTTAAAGAAAAAATCCTATTAAAGCATAGTTTAGAGTACAAGAACTTCTCCATTCTAAGAAGATGACATTTGATATCATACTTCATCAATTTAAAATGCCCCATTGTTGTTGTGTATCAGCGTACAAGAACTTCCATTTTACGAAGACGACATTTGATATCATACTTCATCAATTTAGAGTGCCACATTGTTGTATGTGAAACAAGTTAGCACATGGTCATCAAAAATTTTCATTTATTGGAAAAAATTAATAAATTCAGATCAATAGAGAATTTGGTGTGCCATAAAAAAAAAATGACTAACTACTACATTCGTCCACACTTCAAAAAATTTGAAAATGAATATAACAGGTGATTCTCTATAACTATGATCATGAAGAATTTGGTATACCAAAGACAGATCAAGTTACAGAAAAAGAGTAACCAATGCAGCATAGTAGGTATACATAGAATATAGATATGAAGAAAGGAGAGAGAAGCACACAGAGAGAAAGTGGGAAAAAGCAGATTTCAATGTATTCAATATTTCAATAAGCAATAGTATGTCTAATACAAAATCCCCAGTTTTTAAGCTTAAAACTCCTAATGAAGAAGGGAAATTCCTAATTTAACCTAATGATTATGGAAGGGAAACGAAACAAAATATTCGAAAATCAATCAAAATATAGATCTTATTCTTTTGCCTAAAATCAAGTCTAATTATGGCAAGTCTTTCCAAATATCCATTAGAATCTCCATCAGTAACACTGTTAAATTAGTAAAGGACTCAGGTACATCCTCATAACAATAGTAGAGAACTACTAAAAGCAATACCTTCCAAGCTTCTGGTCTATAGAACAGAGTCAAATAATTCAAAAAACATAGATTTCAATCGACACGATACAAGAATACAGAAAAAGAAAATTGCCACCTGAAATGATTCAAAGAACAATGAAATTAATCCTGGATACTCCATATTTTGTCAATGACTTGTCAACAAACCATGTGCCAAGTATCAGATGCAAAATGTACCAGCAGCTAGTTTCCAAAAACACAAATATTGCCAGATGTTGAACCATTATGTATAAAAGCTTAAGCTATAAAAGAGAAGCCACACATGTTCTATTAAATCTCATCTTCAGCATGGATCAAACTTGCAGATCAGATTCATTTTTTTATCAAATGTCTAAATCATTCACAATTTTCCTTTAAAAATTGGCAATGAGACTCGAACTCAGGTCTTTTGCTTAGTTACAATGTTATGTTGAACCATCTCGATTAAAAGCTAAGCATTTAAAGAGAGGCTATATGTATTCATTTAAATCATTATCTTCAGCACCAAATATGGCAATAATGACTCACCAAAAACATGAAGATATTCGAAGAAGAATAGGAGCAACAAATTAATTCTTCGCTTTTTCGGTTGCTCTAAATTGAAATGAATCATTTCGTTTCAGCTAGATTCACGAAAACGTTTAAGCGCCTAGAGTATAGCACAATCTCTTGTATAAAGGTAAGTATGAACTACGAATTCTAATCTATTTTCTCTCCCACAAAAATTGTTTTTGGGGACAACTAGGATTAGTCGGGAAGAGTTCTACTGACTACAGATTACAGAAGGGTAGTTTATCAAACCATTCTTCAAATGGTCATGCATCAACAATGTAAACATGGCTTCTTCCCATGGTCAGCTTCCAGCAAGGTCTTCTCCTGTTGGTACCAATTCATCAAGAGGTCTTCCTTCCTCACTGAAGTTAACAACTGCTGTTTTCTACTCTGAAATAGTATTTAAAGTCCTGCTTTTGCATCACTTGCCTGTATCTGGTTAGAATCAGGAATTGGATGATTGCTTCTCATGATCATCATCAATCAAGAACGCCTCATTAGATTCTTCATTTGGCAGAAATTTCTAATCAGTAAATCTTTTCTCCAAGAAGGATAGACCAGTAGATTCTTTCCCAGTGCATTCACGCCCCACATTAATTTCTGGAAAAAGCACAGCTTGGCTGCTTCCAGTAGCAAACATGGGGGCAAACTGGAGGGTTCTTATAAAGACACTTATGGCACTTAAATCCAATGAGCTTTTCAACTTTTTCAGCTTTGAGATTAAAAGCATCTCCATGAAACCAATCTGCAAATTGTGAAAATTTGTAATTTAATAGTAAACTAATTATATCGACAAATTTGGGTGCCTTCCCTGAGCTGGTTGTGCCAAACGTCAGTCATACATACGTAACTATATAAAATTGTAACTGTCATCTATCATGAATATTAAGAGTTATTCTTATACAGGCAAGGACTCTAAAACGATTTTTCTCAGCCAGCAGTTAATTCAAGATAGAGATAATAATCTTTCACAG